ATGCTTTTCCTTGTTCTTGGCTATAGTCTGGCCCTGAGATGAGCAAGGAGCAGGAGAAATGGATGATTGGGATCATGGTTTCTGTCACAATAGTGAAGTTAATTCTCATGGTTTATTGTCGGCAATTCAAAAATGAAATAATTAGAGCATATGCACAGGATCACTTCTTTGATGTGGTTACCAATTCAGTTGGGTTAGCCACAGCTGACCTTGCGATTCATTTCCGCTGGTGGATTGATCCTACTGGAGCTATAATTGTGAGTTCAGAGTCCTCCAAACTTCTTACTGTGCTTTATTTGATTTACATTTATTTTTTAGCCATTCTGGTTCCCCCTCCCTATGACTGCAAAGAAACTGCAGTGACTCTTCTTGTTGCCTGGAATTCACGTTATTCACTTCTCTCAACACAAATACAATCATACCATCAAATCCTAACTGTAATTTCATGGGGATCTTGTGCATTGTGCCGTCAAATATTGAATTTGAGCACCTTCAGCCATAACAGCATTGCTTGTATTGATCGCATATCCTGAACCTATGTTGCAGATTGCACTGTACACAATTAGCACCTGGGCAAGAACGGTATTGGAGAATGTAGGTTCACTAATTGGAAGATCAGCTCCTCCTGATTTTCTAGCAAAGTTGACATATCTGATTTGGAACCACCATGAAGAAATCCAGCACATCGACACTGTTAGAGCCTACACTTTTGGTTCTCATTACTTCGTGGAGGTTGACATAGTGTTACCGGAAGACATGGTCCTGAATAAGGCACATAATATTGGTGAGGAACTACAACAGAAGCTGGAGCAACTACCCGAAGTAGAGCGAGCCTTTGTGCATATTGACTTCGAGTTCACTCATAAACCTGAACACAAGGCCAAGGTGTAAAGGTAATTCCAGTAATGTCATATTTCTAAGACTGCGCTCCACTTTGGAGACTTATTGACTAATTTAGATGTTAAACCGGTGGAGTTTATTAATCCTGATTTGGAATTAAAATGGCATTCTTATTAATTAATTGAATTAAAAAGGGGAAGAAGATTCTGTAACACCTACCCATGATAACAACGTTCAAACTGAAGCAATGCTGGTTTTAAAACCCAGCCCGGCCCGGTTGGTTGAACTGGTTCAATCGGACCTGGCTTTAAAATGGGCCAATTTCGTGCGTTGGCCCGTTTTGCAAGTTGGCCTGTGTTAGCCCGCCAGACTCGCCGGACCTGCTCCAAACGGCCAACCCGTCCCACTTGCCGGGCACCTTTATTAACTTTTTTTTTTTTATGTAATTTACTTATTTTATCTCATCTTTTTAATAATATTACATTAAAAATCTTAAATTTAAACTAAAATTAAATCCTAAAAACCTAATCAAAAGTACAATTTTGTAAAAACACATGGAAAAAACAGAATTTGAAAGTAAAAGACATCATCCCATCGCCCATCCCTCTCCCTCATCCCTGGTCCATCTCCATGAGTCCATTGGCTTGTCACCGCACCAGTCATCGGGTCATCACCTCTGGCAAAGTAGCCTGATCTCCTTGCTCCACTTTCGTCAAGATCTCACCATCAGTCACTGCCTCATCTAGTCATCTCCTCTGCTGAACAGAAGCAACAAAGCAGGCTGACCGACTCTTGACGACAACATGAATCAAATGGTGGATCTCGTTTAGAAGCTTTCTTCGGAGCTTCGTTCGGGCCTCCGACCAGCCTACAATAATTTCATGGGATTCTTCCATGCAATCGATTGGAAGGTAATGCATCCACTCCCTCCATCTTGCTATTTCTGTTTGGTTGTCAAGAAAACTCAGGAAATGGAAGAAATTCTAATTTTCTTTTGTTGTTTTGTTGGAGTAGAGAATGATTTTGAATATATAGATATGAGATTTTGAAATATTATATGTATTTAATTAAATTTATTATTTTAAATAGCTTAAATGATAATTTTCAAGTTGATTTTATGATGATTGTTTTTTAAGAATAAAGTAAAAGTAATATATAAATGTAAAATTTAATAAAAATGTAAAATAAAAAATGTTTTTAGGTCAACTGGTTGAATCAATCGTGTGAACCAAAAC